GCATCGAGACCGAATCGTCCACGTCCGCATCGCAATGCATCGTAGAAACGATTATTTTCAACACCCCTACTACACACACACCTACACACACACCTGCTGTGTGTGCAGATGCTGCCTTCCAACAGTAAAACACCACATCCCTGCAGCTCTTTATTTTCAGTCCAAAACCCACATTTATTCACTTTAATAGCAATTAAATAAACACACACAAGCATTCGTTAAAAAGCTGTTAGTGATTTTTCCTCATGTCAGCAGTATGACTTCCTCCAGAGTTACATATTAACATCAGACTGAGATTCCTGCAGCTCTGCAGACAGGATATTTTAATATGTGACACGCACGCAAGCACACACACACACACAGCAGAGAGGTCACTGTGTGTGTGTGTGTGTGTGTGTGTGTGTGTGTGTGTGTGTGTGTGTGTGTGTGTGTGTGTGTGTGTGTGTGGTGTGTGTGTGTGTGTGTGTGTGTGTGTGGTGTGTGTGTGTGTGTGTGTGTGTGTGTGTGTTGTGTGTGTGTGTGTGTGTGTGTGTGTGTGTGTGTGTGTGTGTGTGTGTGTGTGTGTGTGTGTGTGTGTGTGTGTGTTGGTGTGTGTGTGTGTGTGTGTGTGTGTGTGTGTGTGTGGTGTGTGTGTGTGTGTGTGTGTGTGTGTGTGTGTGTGTGTGTGTGTGTGTGTGTGTTGTGTGTGTGTGTGTGTGTGTGTGTGTGTGTGTGTGTGTGTGTGTGTTGTGTGTGTGTGTGTGTGTGTGTGTGTGTGTGTGTGTGTGTGTGTGTGTGTGTGTGTGTGTGTGTGTGTGTGTGTGTGTGTGTGTGTGTGCTCCTCATTCCTCGGCTTTCTGTGCAGATAGTTGGAGTTTTTCTGTGGGATGCATTACAGTCCCTCTTTGTCTGTCACATGCAATCAGAGAGTCCTCCTTTTAGTGCATACACAATCACCATTTATAACACAATGTGCTTTCGACATCGCCGTGTCCTAAACAGCTCATATGAATGGTTACCATGAACATTTTAGCATTTCAAAGAGACTGAAGCACTCTTTTGTGCACCAGTCAATCCTAAATATACCTACATTTCCTGATTGAATGTACGTTAAAGGCTGTTGGACATAATGTACATTTTTCCCTCAACTGTTGTCCCGGTTGTTATTGAATGCACTGTTCAATGTTTATAGATGAATGCAATGATAGTTTTTTGTACAACATGTTAGAAAACGGTTAAAAAAGGTCCATCCCATTTCCTTTTTCAACGTCTCTAAATGTCTTGTTACGTCAATCCAAAGCCCAAAGATATATTCGTTTTAATACGACATAAATCAAAGAGATCAAGAACGACTCAAGCTGTCAACCAATTATCAAAGTAGTCGATCAATCTGCTAATTGATGCAGCTCTGGTTTAATTTGAGGCTCGACGGTTGTTTTTCATTCAGCTGCAGGTTGACCTGATCTGAAGGTGAGAGTTAATCATCATCCTGCTGACGCACCAGAATAAATACGTCTGCTCCCACTGCTTGTATTTATAACCCCAGTTTGATATGTATCAGGACTCTTCAGGGATGCAAATGATACGTGGGAACGCCAGCTGACCTTTAGAATCAAAAACAAAGCGTTTAGGGAAAGTGTCTGTATAAAAAAAAACCTCAAAATGAATGTAGAAAATGATCCTGAAACCTGAGTTAATCTTCATTATGTGTGACTGGTGTCTGCTCCAGTTTTCCTTGACTCTCGTCCCAGTTTTGGCCGTGCAGGCGTGGAGTGTTACTGTCAGCATGAGAGCGGCGCGGCGGTGATTCAGCTGCAGTTCCTGATCAACGAGGTTTGTGTTTCCTGTTCCTGCTTGTTTGGTTTTCCTGAATGTTTTCACACGCCTTCACTTCAGGTCTGTGCACTGACACCTGAAACTGTTTATTCTGCAACCGCTTACTTTGCAACTGGTGCAAAAGTTAGTCACACAATAAGTATCTCAGTGGCAGTACATTTTAAAAAAAGTACAATTTGTAACAAAAAGTAAAATTTGGATGAAAAAAATAAAACGTTTAACAAAAAGTAAAATTTGTGTAAAAAAGTAAAATGTGTTTATACTGCAACTGCTTACTTTGCAACTGCTTACTTTGCAACTGCTTACTTTGCAACTGCTTACTTTGCAACTGGTGCAAAAGTTAGTCTCACACATTTAGGCTCCGTTTACACGGAGACGAAACGCAGAACGAACCGAATTCCATATCAAAAAAGTCTTCCGTCCGCACGGTATCGGCTCAAGAAACGTGTCCGTCCACACGAGACCCCTCGACCCGCTGGAGGCGCTGTAGTACATATGCCGGGCCTGTAAGTGGCGCTGTACTCCCGCCACAAAATACACCAAAAGCAGCGAAGAAGACCCCCGAGCATGGTTGCCATGGTTGCCCTTCTGGTTATTCTCCGCGGTGGATTTAGCAACATGTAGTTCTCCAGGTCCACTTGTTGCTGATGGTTGTGGTGGAGGAGCTGTAGATGTTGCACTAACATCTGTAGCATGGTCAGTAGCTACTGACGGTAGCTACTGACCATGCTACAGCAGTGAGCACCAGAGGTGGGGAGAGGAGGGGCTATGGCTTCATCGTTATCAGGAAATGATCGTATACACTGAGCCGTTTGTCCCCCCAGAGCGTTTCATCCGCAGATCTACCCACCTTGGGACCCGTTATCGTTTGAGGGCTTTGTTTCCGCGGTTCCGTTACGGCCTCGTGTGAACGAACCGTCCATACGATAGAGAACTGTAGCAGATACAACCAGTTTCGTCTCTGTGTAAACGGAGCCTTAGTATCTTAGCTAACAGGCTCTACATTTAATCAAAATTGCTCCTAATAATTTACAAAAAGTAGAGAAAGAAATTAGAAATTGAAAAAGAAAATTTGACTGAAAGTAAATTTTGTAACAAAAAGAATAACATTTGAAACAAAAAATAGAATTTGTAACAAATTAAAATGTATGACAAAAAATGTAATGTGGATATGAAATAAACATTTTCAAAAAAAGTTAAATTTGTATAAATAAGTACATTTTGTAACAAAAAGGTAACATTTGTGTAAAAATAAATAAATTGTATTAACCTGTTACGCACGGCCCCCCCGGTACCGGGCGGATAAACGCGTCATTTGCAGGAAACAACGTCTAAGGCAGTGGTTCTCAACTGGTCAGGCCTCGGGACCCACTTTTTACTTGGTCAATACATCGCGACCCAACATTTTGAAGCACTCAAATCTATTCAACAAAAAATCGTGCTGTAATATATATATATACGCTTTTGAGCATACAATATTAATAAAATAAATTGAAGTACAGTGCATATATCCCTTATATCCCTTCACAGAACTAAAGTATGCTTTTAAAAAAGGTTTAATGAGATGATGGAATCAAAGCTGAACTATATAAAAAGGCACACATGCTGAAACCCAACCCCAGCAGGGGGGTCTGGGGGGATTCTCCCCCAGAAGATTTTTAGAAATACTAACAAACTACGCATTCTGGTACACTCTGAGAAGAAAATCGGGCCTTCAAAATAAAAGTTTGACTTTTCCCCCCCCCAAAAAAAAAAAAGAAGAAAAATCCAATTTTTTTTTTCCAACTTTTTTTTCTTCACTCACACATCCGCGACCCACTCGAAACGGGTCCGCGACCCACTTTTGGGTCGCGACCCACCAGTTGAGAACCACTGGTCTAAGGGATCTTAATATTTAATAAAACTATGAATGTTTTATATCCATGTAACGGGAAGAAACTCAGCTAACTGATCTTTTTAATTTTTGTTTCCAAAAAAACCCCACAATGCTAGCACTCAGCCTCTGAATTAGCCACGGGCGAAAAAATGTAACCTAAAACGGCACTTAAACTCACTCATAACTCCCTTATTACTTATCCTAGATGCACAGCCAACCACTCGTTTTTGGTGTCCTGGAGACACAGAATCTAACGGTGCCCACCTCAACACTCAGTGATAAACATTTGCGACGCTATAAACGAAAGCGTACATCATAACATGTGGAGCTAGGTAGCTAGAAACGCTAACATGGCTTACCTTGGTCAAAACTGGTCTTCAATGGCATTAAAACGATAAAAAAACGATGCTGCAGTTAATCCATAGGTTAATCCAATGTGTCTGTGTCCTCTTTGAAATGATTTCTGATAATCCATAAGCAATAAAACTGCTTTTTCGTTTCCAAATGCCAGAGCTAGAGATCGCTTCACTCTGCTGCACATTTACATGCGCGCAGCCCCCACCTTTTCTCTTCACAACGTGTGTGTGTGGGGGCCTCCCCTTCGATTCTATTGGCTCTAACGGTCAGAAAGAGGTGTCAACCATCAAAATCGAGCAAGGGGGGCCAGAGATATGGAAAAAAAAACATTTTCACCCAAATCACCTCAGAGGTGGGGTGGTTTTGGCTAAACCTCTCTAAAAAGGTCAAATGTCACTTGTTTTGCATCAATATTGATACAGGGTACTTATTATATGTTCAGGGTGCGTACGGGTGCTGGAAATCCTTGAAAATGCTTGAAATTGTACGAGGTGGTTTCAAGGTTTGAAAAGTGCTTGAATTTTGGGAATGGTGCTTGAATTTGGGACAAAGTGCTTGAAATTGTAAATGCTTTACTTCGCTTTTTAGATTAAAAGAAAATAAAGAAGTCGGAGCGCGCTTAATTGCTTCGCTTTTACATAAAACAGCTCCGCTCCGGCCTTCCCGGCAAGTGTTTTTGTTACGTGTGTGACCTGGGCATTCTGATGAGAGTGATAGATGACAGTATGCAGGGATGCAAACTTGTCACCTTTCGGCGAAATTCGCCGTTTTGAATCCAAAATAGGTCGTTTGTGTGATTCATGTAGATCTGCAATAAAAATACTTTTGGGACCCGGAGTAATCTGCGGCCGCGAGCTGTTATGTGCCATCATGACACGCATGGTGTTCTTTTTTTATATATTATAATGAAGCGCGAGCTGTGTGCTCGAGTCTTCCTGCCTGTCGGCTCTGCTCATGGATGTATAATAAGGCTCTGCTGCTCCGGATGAGGGTCTAGCTTCAGCAGCTACATTACCTACGGTGCGTTCGTTAATATTAACTGTGCGGTAGAACTGTGGCACAGACTGGACCGCTGGTTAGAACGGGGTGTTCAGAGCAGAGCTCCCTGTCGGAGCGGCAGAGCGTGATGTGCACTGAAAAGTGTTTCTGTCGCAATATTATTTAATGAATCGTTGAGCTAGCTAACATAACACATACATTGTCACTATCTGCTAACGTTAGCTTTAGCCTTCGTTTTCAAATAGTTTCTTTCATAGCCTATAAACGGAGGTGGTATAAGTATCTTGTACTTGAGTAAAAGTAGAAGCACTCAGATCTTGTACTTGAGTAAAAGTTGAAGTACTCAGGTCTTCTACTTGAGTAAAAGTAGAAGTACTCAGATCTTGTACTTGAGTAAAAGTAGAAGTACTCAGATCTTGTACTTGAGTAAAAGTTGAAGTACTCAGATCTTGTACTTGAGTAAAAGTAGAAGTACTCAGATCTTGTACTTGAGTAAAAGTTGAAGTACTCAGATCTTGGACTTGAGTACAAGTAGAAGTACTCAGATCTTGTTCTTGAGTAAAAGTTGAAGTACTCAGGTCTTGTACTTGAGTACAAGTAGAAGTACTCAGATCTTGTTCTTGAGTAAAAGTAGAAGTACCAGAGTGTAGGAATACTCTGTTACAGTAAAAGTCCTGCATTCAAAATGTTCCTCAAGTGAAAGTAGAAAAGTATTCTCATCAAAATATAGTGAAAGTAGCGACAGTAAAAGTAGTCATTGTGCAGATTGGTCCATTTCAGAATAATATATATGATATGTTTTATAATGATTGATCATGAAAGTGTTCTCAAAGCTGGTAAAGGTGCAGCTAGTTTGAATGACTTTGTATACTGCAGGGTAGCTTGTGGATTTACTCCAGGTGGAACTAAAGTCTGATTTAACACTTGATTATATTTCACATCATTCATCCACATCTGTGAAGTAACTAAAGGTATTAAATACATGTAGTGGAGGAAAAGTACACCATTTACCTCTGAACTGTAGAGGAGAAGAAGAACAAAGTAGCAAAACATTGAAATACTTAAATAAAGTACAAGTATCTCAAAATTGTACCCAAGTATAGTACTTGAGTTTATGAACTTAGTTACTTTACACCACTGGCTATAAAGATAGAAAGACAGCCTTGCACAGAGGCATGAAAATACATTTTCAAAATGCTCAACAGTCCTGCCAAAATTATAAACTGACTGCTACACAATTAAAATAAATGCTTAAATATATTTCTATTAGATGTGACTCTTTGGCGTTTCTGTTATTAACACTGCTGCTTTAGTTGTTCTGACTGCTAACATCCTGTTATTCCTCATTTTAAAGCCGATATTCCGTGGGGTCGGGGGGCTCGGATCCTTGTCACCTTTTTCATACCTGATGAGTTTGCATCCCTGAGTATGCCAGGAGGTTGCCGTTTCAACGAGCGTTGGCTAGCAGAAGACAAATACAAGCCATGGCTAAGACGAGGGTCAAGCGAAGCCCAAGAGTAGCCTCCTGCAAAGTGTGCAACAATAACGATGCGAGAGTCTGCGCTGACGAGCGACACACCACACGAAAGGTACGCCGTAGAGGCATTTTAGATTAGGCTATCGTTGCATGTAAAATACATGACACTTTTCTCTGTGCGCGGCAAAACAAGCTCGCCAAAATGGCTTCACTAGTCTGGCAGTATTTTAAGTGTCCGAAAATGACAATAAAATAGCGGTATGCAACGTGTGTGAAGCAGAAATCCTGCAGCTCCACCCGCTGTGACGGACCGGTGAGCGGAGCAGAACACACATTAAGAGTTAGACCTAACACACTTAGCTATTTGATCTACCTCTGGAACAAGCTAAACTAGTTATAAATATATGTATTCTTCACTGTCGGGTCACTCATTACTGGATCAGTGAGCTGCAGGAGATACTGACGGGCTGTCAGGAGGGAGAGAGACGGGGAGAGAGGAAAAGAGAGCGCTTCCGCTAATTTCTCCCGTGTTATTATCCAAAGTTAATGTAAACTTGAATAATGTACTTCATTTGAATGTAATAATTATGTTGGTTGGTTTGTGGAAGCGCCAGTGAATGAGCCCCATTAACTGAGTTTTAAACATCACTTTAAATGGAAGATCCCCATAGGCCCCGCCCACTCGATCGGATCGGCGATCGGTATCGGCCGATACTGATTCCGGCGTTCGGCCCCAAAATTGGCGATCGGAGCATCCCTCATAATTGTATATGATATGTTTTATAATGATTGATCATGAAAGTGTTCTCAAAGCTGGTAAAGGTGCAGCTAGTTTGAATGACTTTGTATACTGCAGGGTAGCTTGTGAATTTACTCCAGGTGGAACTAAAGTCTGATTTAACACTTGGTTATATTTCACATCATTCATCCACATCTGTAAAGTAACTAAAGGTCTTAAATACATGTAGTCGAGTAAAAGTACACCATGTACCTCTGACTTGTGTTTACTGCCAACCTAAAAGTACCTCAAAAATAGTAATCAATAATGTATTGAAAAGTTATTTGGCTGATTGTTTTATATTGGCTCAGCCAGGTTATATGGGATGCCTAGTCTACGTACAGATGGGTCACACATTTTGAAATATTAAACTTAGTTTTCTTCTCTAACATTTTTAATTGTTCATCCTCATGTAGAATGCTATTACGAAACACACATTTGGTTGTTTATAGCATAAAGAACATCTGATTTAATGTGAGGTAGGGAAATAATCATTTGAGTTTAAGTATGTGTATATAAATATGTAATTTACAACAGCTGTAAGATGCTTGAAAAGCTTGAAAATGCACCTTGAAAATGCTTGTAAAGTGCTTGAATTTGACTTTGGAAAAGGTGTAAGAACCCTGTATGTTGTATTTTGGATTCCTAAAGCTTTTAGTCTACTAACCCATCATCCAAGGGTAGTTTTCACTATCTGTAAAAAATAATTTTTGGACGGACACTATAATTTACAGTTTTTTACTATGTAAAATCTGAATTTTCTTTAAAATAAAAAACATCTATATTGATTCTGACACTTCTACATCCAACTCACAGATGTAACCTTGCTTTGATAAAAGAAATTATTCATATAACCCTTTTAGAAGTTAAGTTGTAGTCATTTGTTTTGGGCATGTCATTTTCGAGCCTGAAACATGAAAAACAGGCTAGGTGCTTAACAGGTTAAAAAGTAACATTTCTGACAAAAAGAAAAATGTGAATCACCTGTCTGTGCGTTCCAGTGAACACACACTGAAGAACCAGTGGCACCAGTTAGTGACCCACTATCAAGTGTGTTCTTGGGTTGCGGTCGAATAGTCCAAAAATCAGCTCCTAAGTTCCAACCCTATCGTCTACCCCTTGACCTCTGAGTGAAACGTCACGGGGTTAAGGGATAGTGGATAGGAGAATTCAAAAGGACTTAGGAGAAGAGACTGCGGTACTTTAGAGCAGGGGTGTCAAACTCAATTTCATCACGGGCCACATCAGCATTATGGTTGCACTCAAAGGGCCGGTTGTAACTTTAAGACTATATCATTAATTAATATAACTTCATAATTAACTACGTCTGAAAGCAGAAGTCTAGAGCAAATAATTGCAAGTCTCTTCAGTAAGAATGTCACAATATGATTTTAAAAGAAAAGCCACATTCTGGAAAAACATTGATTGTGACATTTTGAAAAAAAAATCTATTTATGAGAAAAAGGCTAATTCTAAGAAAAAAGGCATATTTGGACAAAAAAAGTCAAATTCTGAGAAAAAGTCAAATTTGAGATGCATTGTGGGACATGTCGTTTATGGGCAACGTGCTTCTGTAAAGTAGCATGTAACCGTATAATAAACATATTATATTCTTTGTAAGCTCTTGTGGGGCCACATAAAATGAAGTCGCGGGCCGGATTTGGCCCCCGGGCCTTGAGTTTGACACCCCTGCTTTAGAGAATCGACTGCACTTCCACTATCCGACGTGTTTATGATGCGCCAGCGGAGGTCATAAATGTGCGCCTGCTGCTGTGGGGAAACTATGGAAACTACAGTTTTCTATACAGCGGACTACAACATGGATGTTTAATAAGAACGAGGGACTACTGTAAACTCATCTAGAGACTCTGCACCGTGCTCTGATGCTGTTGTTTTATGCTTTATGAACGGGGACAACAGAGAAACATATTCTTCATGACCAAAGTTGGAATTGAAATAAAAAAGGAAATTGAAACTTATGCTCGTCACCCTCTCCCTCCGGTCCACATTAATACAAATGATCCCAATACGTATGATTGTATGAAAAGATCTTAAAATCAATACAAATGTATTTATTATAAACGTTAGTCCTTAACATCTATCACTGTGTATATCACCATTCAAACATCTTTTAAAAGTTGAACAAACCCCACACAGCTCAGTAAAGACTGTGAAATGTTGACTTTATTTGATCATTTCAGTAAAAACTAACGTTCATATTTCTCTTTTTGATTATAATACTGATGAACGTTCACAACAAAGCACTTTGGCAACTTACCACATACGTTTTAAAATGCTTAATAAGCACCGTAACTTTCATGATATCATTTCTCGTTCATAATCGGTTGTTTCCGTGAACGGCCGACTGTTGTGTGACGGCAAATGCTGCGGCCGCAAGGCATTGTGGGGCAGCATTTTCTCCTCTCCTTTCGGTTAGGGAGGTCCAGTGGTTCCTAAGCTAAAGGAGGTTATAAAGGAAGTTTGAAACCTCCTTTCCTTTCATCTAGAGAATTCGAACGGCTCTTATCATGGCTGCCACTGAGGGACTTCCGGGTCATTTCACTCCGTTAGGAAGGTTCCTAAGCAAAACGGACTATTCGACTTCAGCCTCGAACTAAAACAGCCCTTCCCCTATTAAAGCCACATACCCTCTAACCTCCCCTGTGTTTCTCCCCCTCCTCACCACAGGGGGCGCTGGTGAGTGCGTTGGCTGACGACAGCATCCACCTCTGGAACCTGAGGCAGAAGATCCCTGCTGTGCTGCACTCTCTCAAATTCAGCAGGGAGAGGTAGCATCACTTAGAGATAAGAGATAACTCAGAGATAATTCAGAGATATTTCAGAGGTTATTCTGAGATTATTCAGAGATAATTCGGGTATATTTTGGAGATATTTAGGAGTTAATTCAGAGATATTTTAGAGATGATTCTGGGATATTTCGGATATATTTTTAGATATATTTCGGGTGTAATTCAGAGTTAATTCCGAGATAATTCGGAGATAATTCGGAGATACTGACGCTGTGTTTCCTCCTGCAGAATCACTTACTGCCACCTGCCCTTCCAGAGCAAATGGCTGTACATCGGCACCGAAAAAGGCAACATCCACATCGTCAACGTGGAGTCCTTCACCCTCTCAGGATACGTCATCATGTGGAACAAAGCCATCGAACTGTGAGTCCTCTTATTCTCACATGCAGCATTTAGAAAACATTCAGCAACTTGAGGAAACATGCGCAGCGATTACTAAAAGAAACCAAACGCTGCAAGAAGCTCACTTCATAATCCCAGGGTCTCGGTCCCAGCTGTGTGCAAAATCAATTATATGATTAGAAACATAATAAAGAAATCTTGAAGAAATATAAATATACAAAAAATGTGCAGTATATCTACAATTTAAAGTGGAAAAGCTGTCCAGTAGCATAAAGCATGATGTAGTTCCTGTCATTAGCCGTTAGCTGCTGTTTCTGTTTCATTATCTCTGACCTCTGACCTCTGACCTCCGTTATGAATCTGAAATGACTTCATCGAGTCAGTGAGCAGAAAACTCTCCATTAGCATAATTTCCTCTGAGAGATTGAACTTTCTCTGAGACTTCTGGAGGTGTTCGAGCCTGGTTCCAGAGAGGAAAGCCCCCCCCCCCCCCCCCACACACACACTGTAGGAGCATCACTTCCTGTGCAGAGGAAATGTTTTGCTGCTCTTCCTGTGCGTGGAAGAGCCAGATTTCAGTCTGAGGAGAAACGTTGAAATGTTTGGGTTATTCAATATTCAATATGTATTTATCACATTTACACACAGCTCAATGTCTCAGACTCCGTACAGAAACACACATACATATTAAAATACATTAATTAAATAATACATTAAAACCAACCAACTTTAAACTCCTATGTTTATTTTATTTTAATCTTTTTATTGCAAATTCTTAATTTAATGTCTTAGTTTTAATTCGAGTTTTTCTTATGCCATTTTCTTTCCTTAACTTGAGTTTATATAACCATTTTAATTCTATACTATTTGATCTTTCTACTCCACTTTCTTGCTTTAATTTCTTATGTTTTTATTCTATTTTTTTATTTATTATTATATTTAATTCTGAATTGAGCCACTCCTATGAAAAAGCCCAATTTCCCCCGTGATAAATAAATGTTCAGATTTGAACCCAAAACCTTATTTTTTAAAGGTCTCCTATCATGCAGAATGCACTTTCTGATGTCTTCTCTTCATCACCATGTGTCCCCGGTGTGTCGGGGAACTCACGCAGCGTCAGAAAATAAAACCCTCTCTCTTTTCCTCCGTACCCAAATCTCTAAAAACGGGGGAACAACGGAGCTGATCCAGATTAGCGTCCGATATGACGTAATATCTGAAATGTGGACCCACGGCCCAATCAGAAACGTTGCTATCAGAAACAATGCCCGACTGTTTTGGACGTAATATGGTCGGTGTTTACATTAGCATGGCTAACACTCAGAGCTAACCTGTACTGGAGAGCATGTGTGTGAAGAAGCAGGAAATAAAAAGGAACTCACCTTGTGGTATAACCGGCAAGAGAGAAAGCCTTTGAGCTCCATACTGTTTCAGAGATAATCCTTGATAATCCATGATATGGCGTTTCATCACCGCAGCATTTAGTTTAGACAGTAGCTGCCGGGTCCCGCATGAGCTCAGACCCCTCCTTTTTAAAGCTTTATACTCCGAATCATCACTTTAGAAACAGGAAGTGAAATAGAGGGATATGAGGCATGGCTAGAATGGGTGATCTGTTTGGTGTTTTGAGCAAAACACTTCATAGACATGTTTTTTATATATTTGTATATATCTGAGACCTATGCTGTTGCCTAAACATAGCATGATAGGTGACCTTTAAAGATCAGTTTCAGTGCTTCTAGAAGTTTCTCTTTCTAAATCCTGTTTCCATCTCTCCCAGCAAACACTAATCAGTGACTGGAAGCTTTCCATCCTCTCAGAGAGTCTCAGAAACATTGATCTGATTGTGAGATGGTGTGAAATGTAAACCCTTCTGTATCTGATAGAAATATCTTGTCACTCGTTGAGCTTCACAGTTTCTCTCTGGTCTCATTTCCTGCAGAAACAGTTTGGTTTCTAACCCTCATATTAAGTGTTGTAGAGGAACATGAGCCCCCTCACTATAAGGAGCTTCTAACTGATTATAAAACAGTGTTTTCTGTCACTAATGCATCTTTTGGATGATTCTACACGTCTGTCACCGGGCAGAGGAATCAGAGGAAAAGCCTTTTTTGTATTTCTTAAAGTGTGCAAAACTGAGTCGTAGCTGAATGCAATGCATCCTGCAAACAGGTCTTTAAGGAAACAAGAACAATAGTATTTAAAATAAGTTGTTTCTTTTCAAACATGCATGTGCAGCCCGAAGAAGATAACTACCACATTTCTGGGCGTTACTTTTGTATTATCTGCTCGAGCTTTTCTGCATTGTTGTGCTCAGATATGGGAATACAAGTGGTCTTCTATGATGTAGAATGTAATAGATTTAAACAGGAAATGTAGATGTAACCCCTTACCTCATACGTGCATTAAGGTCCTTCATAAACTTAGGTAAAACATTGTGTGTTATATTATTTGCATTAACGTCCCTTTAATCCTGCAGCTGGTCACTTGTATTCTTTATACGATGCATTGTATACGGGTTGCATGGCTTCTAAAATAAATGTAGTTCAGTAAAAGTACAATATTTCCCCCTGAGGAGAACGGAGGAGAAGTTTGAAGTGGAAAATAAATGTAAATACATGCATCTGATTTGATCTGAAGCTTTAGGAGGGAAAGTAAGACAAGGGAAGACACACTCACAGACACACTCACACACACACACACACACACATACACAT